TTTAATTGTTATGGAATAGGTGTGATAACGTCTAAATTTTGACATGATTTTTAACTTTGTCGAAAAAAACAAAATGGCCGCCACGACGCCATATTTGATTTTTGCCCTAACGTCAATATGACGTTTTGAAATCATCTTTGGATATATTATGTAGAATTGAAAATAAATGGCACTGCTCATAGGACAATTTTGTGTAAAACGTCAGCTTCCGATTTTCGGTAGGGGTCAAAGTTCAAAAGTGCAATTTAGGAAACCAAACTACCAGAAACTTCTTCTTAAGTTTGAAAAGGCTTAGAGGTCCGATAGTTCACACATATATTGCTAAGGTAATGGTCTATTAAGTTTTTTTAATATGGATGACCTTGACACACTTCCTAGGTCATAGGGGTCAATTATATTAATATCATTATATGACTTTTTTTTTTTTATATTTTTCAAGAGGAAAACAGTTACGTGATATTGTCAACCTTCTGTGGAGAATTGCTTTTGATTGGAATAAGCAAAACTTTCATAAAAGACCAACTTCCGGTTTTCCTTAGGGGTCAAAGCTCAAATTTTGATGTAGGGTACCAATGCATACGAGTCTTCTTCTCAGGTTGGAAGGACGTATAGACTTGATATCTATTACATATTAGGTTCTTAGAATTGTCCATAATTGTTGTAAATATGGATTACCTTGACCTACTTTCATAATCACGACTGCAGGGGTGTCTGGGGATATATGTAATGGTTTACATTACAATTAGTACTTGTTTTGATTGGTTTTCTTTACATCAACATTGATTCAAAGAATAATCACAGTTCAAACACATCGACAAGGTAACGAAATGATTTAGTTGAATCCCAGACATAAGAAATGACATCTTCATTGTAATGAATATAAAGTAAGTACATCTAGTATTTTCTAGCAATCAATGAAGTCCAGTGACAGTTGTCCTCATTCAATACATCCGGTGAAGGAAGAGGGACGTACGGTTAAATGTGTCCTGAAAGGTTTAAAAGTTCAAGAGAATAAATTGTGTTTATAGAGAACTGTGTTTTGGGGAGCTTGGCGTTAGTTGTTTAATTTGAACACGTGTTTTCAATCTTTTATTCCGGAAAAAGTCAACTACAACTAAAACAAGAACCAACATTGAGACGATACGGAAACACAGACATACCAACACACAAAACGGTAAATTCCGGATATGCACTGTACGTAGGAAGGGAGGGTAGAATATCATGATTTAAATTTCTTTATTATATAATGTTTTGTCATAGTATATTATTAGACATGGGGTCGCGATAACTCGGTCGGAAACCTCGAGGGAAAATCCTAGTTGCCTGGTACGATGTTCCCTACTTGTGATGGTTTGTTTTTCTCAGAAAGCTGTCGGCAAGTTGGATTAGAATTTGATTAAGCGAATACGAAATAGCTCATACATATTTACATGTATTGAGGAGCAGAAGAAAAAACTATATGAAAGTTTATAATTTTAGTTTGTGTCTTCTGAAGACGATCTACTGTCACTTTAAACTTATTTATTTTACAACAACTGCGGAAAGAGTTAATAACGTATATGAACCACACTTATTGGACGGATGGAGAAAAAACTGGAGTTTCTGGGGAAAACCTACGTGGGCGGGCAGATGTCTACATACTTTTTAACGTCCTGGAATCGAACACCGGTCGCCTAGCTGTAAGACGCGTGCAGGGGTCGGGATTGGAGATTAAATCTTGTGTAGAGAAGAGAAATAAAATTTCATTTTTGGGGGATCGGAATGAATCAGAAGCTAGCATGTGATAGATTAGGCTTCTTATCTTGAGAACGGCGAACAGGGGTTTTTTTCGGTAGAAAAGAGGTATGAATTTAAGGGCGAGTGTAAGCGTTGTATCTGGTGCAGTTAGTAGCTGTTACCAATAGGGATTGTTAACTGTGTTATTTATCAATGTAAGCTGAATGTATAAAGATTTAATATTATGGAAGGGTTGTTCGATAGAGCGGGTTTAAAAGACGGATATGAGGGCATAATCGGGTTTGTTTTTGTTGTGTTTTGTTTGTTTGTTTTTTTGTTTGATTGTTTTGTTTTTAAGTTACTTAAAGATGTTGAATGATGTTGATTGTTGCGAAAGTTTGTAAAACTGATGTTTCACTTGATACTATTTATAAGTGCACTTCGTTATAAACTCTGTTATGGTGGCTGCTGTAAATGTTTATCATCTTGAGATATAAATGTGCAATATACCAATCTACCATTCGGTGTCTGATTGTCCGAGGATTTGACAGCTTGGAGAAGAAGTGTAACTTATGATGTATTTGTGAAAATATTTAAAACATGTGAAAATTTGCAGTTATTTGAATGTGTATATTACATTGACAGTCAAAAGTTACATAATTATACCAAAATTCATTTATTTTTGTTAAATAAGCATGTTTTCATATGAATGAAAGGGGGATTCAACTGGATTAGATAAGCATCCAAACAATGGGATATGCTTTGGCGCCATACGATTACCTCGTGTAATTATTGTTGCCTTAATGGCCAAAATCTGAATTTTATCTCTTTATGTAAAAAAAAAATGACAGATAAGAAATATATTTAATAGCGGAGTTGGTCAGAAATGTCTTTTATATTGGCTTCCGTTGCTGATAAATTATTTGTTTTCGTTGTTTTAAAAATGATATAAATATGCAATGTTAAAACAATAAATTATATATTCCTTATTGGCTCTGCTGTTGTTTTCTGATGTTTTTATGAAATGTTTTAGGTATTAAGAGTAGAGAAGTATACATACCTTACAGTGGTAACTTATATAATGGCATTGGGTATAATTTCAAATATCATTGTCGATTTCTCCTAATATGGCAAGTGCAAAAATAGATATACTTTTTTTCATATATTTGCCTTTAAAATATAGGGATTTATTCCTTTGATGAAAACTGTAAAACAACTTATACAGAATGCCGCCATCTTGTGGAATATGTAACGTCTAACTAACCTCAATGAATGTGAATAATTCTAGAAGTTTTTTTCAGTACAGCTTTATTTCATGTTTGGATCGGCTTTATTTTCTATTGTCTTTTCCTGTAAAATTACAAACAAAAGAAAAGTGGATGGTTTTCCGTTTAATATAATATGTTTTGTACTCTTATATCTACAATGGGCATCTGTCAAGCGTGAAACATGATATTAACCGGAAATCTTTAAAGATCGATAGTTTTCCGTTTAATATAATATGTTTTGTACTCTTATATCTACAATGAACATCTGTCAAGCGTGAAACATGATATTAACCGGAAATCTTTAAAGATCGATAGTTTTCCGTTTAATATAATATGTTTTGTACTCTTATATCTACAATGAACATCTGTCAAGCGTGAAACATGATATTAACCGGAAATCTTATAAAGATCGATAGTTTTCCGTTTAATATAATATGTTTTGTACTCTTATATCTACAATGAACATCTGTCAAGCGTGAAACATGATATTAACCGGAAATCTTTAAAGATCGATAGTTTTCCGTTTAATATAATATGTTTTGTACTCTTATATCTACAATGAACATCTGTCAAGCGATCGATAGTTTTCCGTTTAATATCATATACATTGTACTCTTAAGATATAGAACATTTACAATGAAAATCTTTCAAGCTTGAAACATATATGACATTAACCGGAAAACTTTAAAGATCCTCTATGTATCAAATAATCGGCTCGTCATGCAATTAATTCGACCATGTAATATTTTTTGCATATATGTCACTGTAGTATACCGTGGAATATTTTCCAATGGCTCGATTGTGATGTCTGATTGATGGTAATGACATCTGGCTGTCTCCGTTTGATAACGTTGTTAAAACGTGTACTTTAAAACGCATAAAAACTCAAAACGTTCAGAGTTATGTGATCAATGGAAATCTAAATGATTCTTCATTCACATGAGCTTCTACGAAATGAGTCGTCGGGTTTTTTCGGGGTTAGGGTTGAGGATGGATGGGATGCGAACCTCGGAAGGAAAAGACAAGCTGAAAATTCTAAGACCCTTGCCATCAAATAAGTTATATATCTATATGCAGTGTACATGTTAAAATAGGTATGGCCACGTCCGTCGTATAAGGCAAAAATAATACTAGTTACCTCCCTTACATCGTAGTGTGCCGGACACTACAGCGGGCTGCTATCACTTTCATGAGATTTTTTGTCCACGGTACAAAATAAAAACAAAAGAAGATTTTTCGTCCGAGGAAGAGAAATAATGTATTATTACACAGATACCGTTAAGTCCCAGAAGGGTTACGGTACGTTTTTTTAGGGACATATATAACATTATTATATGTCCTTGGTTTTTTTTTTTCAAGAAACAATTTGGTTTGATACACAGGGGCTTGGCGCTAATTCCTAAGGTTATAGGCTACTTATATAACATGTATCTTAATGTGCCATATGACTTGGCTAAAACATTAAACGGGTCCAACTTCATGTCACGCCGTGAATTGGAACATTTCTTCCAACAGGAACCATACATCTGCAGTATTTGTATAGGACACTCCAAACAGACATCTTTATGAGTCAGTAGGTCTCTGTTGTACATTAAGCCATGATTTTAAAAACGCTGACACAAAATTACTGTCCATATCAAAGTTTGTGAAGATTATTTCTATTGGTTTGAAATCGTTTTTCGGGTAAGCTGTATAAAGCTAAAATCATGGTTGGTCAGTGTCAAAGAGGTATACTACAGATTGTATGATACTGCATTATACGTCTCTGGTCACGTGGATGGTAAGTGGAAGTCAGTGGATGGTGCGTGGATGTCAGTGGATGTCAGTGAATGGTCAGTGGATGTCGGTGGATGTCAGTGGATGTCAGTGGATGTCACTGGATGGTCAGTGGATGTCAGTGGATGTCAGTGGATGGTCAGTGGATGTCAGTGGATAGTCAGTGGATGGTCAGTGGATGTCAGTGGATGGTCAGTGGATGTCACTGGATGTCTGTGGATGTTCAGTGGATGTCACTAGATGTCAGTGGATGGTCAGTGGATGGCCAGTGGATGTCACTGGATGTCAGTGGATGGTCAGGGGATGGTCAGTGGATGTCAGTGGATGTCAGTGGATGGTCAGTGGATGTCAGTGGATGGTCAGTGGATGGTCAGTGGATGTCAGTGGATGGTCAGGGGATGTCAGTGGATGTCAGTGGATGATCAGTGGATGGTCAGTGGATGTCGTTGGATGATCAGTGGATGGTCAGTGGATGTCGTTGGATGTCAGTGGATGGTCACTGGATGTCAGTGGAGGCCAGTGGATGTCACTGGATGTCAGTGGATGCCAGTGGATGATCAGTGGATGGCCAGTGGATGTCAGTGGATGGTCATTTGATGTCTGTGGATGTCAGTGGATGTCAGTGGATGGTCATTTGATGGTTGTGGATGTCAGTGGATGTGATGTCAGTGGATGGTCAGTGCTATTTGAAGATATGTTTACAATCTGTCACGATGTGTATGAAATGATAAGAAAATGTCACTTTATCATATAATATTATTATACAGCGGAGTAAAACTATCTAAGTAAGTGCTTTACACAAAAATGTTGACCAAATACCAGTTTGGTAGAAAAGGGACAAAATGAAACTAGAACATGGAAAGTAAAGGATAGGAATATGTTTATACATTTGTATGTGTGCGTGAGTGATGGGAGGGAGACAACATATACGGCCATCCAATATATATATATATATATATATATTGGATAAAACTATCTAAGTAAGTGTTAGTGTTATTTGGCGGGTCATAGTTGATTTTTTTCCAAAATGTAAATGAAATTATACAATTATTTTTTGTCGATTTTGGAGAACATATATATATATATATATCCAAAATCCAATATATATATATATGTTCTCCAAAATCGACAAAAAATAATTGTATAATTTCATTTACATTTTGGAAAAAAATCAACTATGACCCGCCAAATAACACTAACTCTGTATATTGCTTTCGTAAAGAATAGTTTAGTAAATAGATTTATATATTCTACCTTGTTACTTGTGTCTGTTGTTCAATCACATTTTAGTATGGCCTTGCATGGATTTAAATATTTAAGTCCGTGGTCTCAGGTAAAGAAATGATATTATTTACTTATTCCTGTCGGACATCTAAGAATGATTCACTTATTTTAAGTCTCATAATAATATGATTTGCATACATTAATTTCTATGGGAAAGGAATTGACTGGAATACTAATTAGTCGTCCATGTATGCACACATTACACGATGCGACATGTATCATTTTTGACAGCGTCTACCTCTTACGTTAGTTTTTCCACCGTTACTAATTGCAAGGTATGCCAAGAGCTTAATTGATCATGACTAAGACAAGAATTACTCATGCGTAACCCGGTTAGTCAGACGTTTGTAATTCATGGACAAATGAGCGAAATTACCTGTGTGCGCGGTGTGTTTGATGTTTACCTGTGACGTTCTAGATCCCAGATCTGTCGTCTGTAAATGTGCCGTTGAAATAAGGATTTTAATGACAGAAAAGACGGAGAAATGGGTAAGTGAAAGAATGTGCTATGAACTGTTATCCATTATTTTTAGATTTGATAGTTCAATCTGAAGACAAATGTCACAGCGATTGAACAAGCTCATTCTCGCTCACAGTCAGCACTGCAGCAAGTAATTTGTCTCGTTCTTGCATGGCATACGCAATATACATTCGCCCAACTCTAACGTTCAATGGAAAAATATTGATTGTATTTTTTGTCATTAATATATACATTGGCAAAAGGCCGTCCGCATGTATCATTCATTAAAACAGTACAGGGTTCATACGGTTTGAAAGTTTAGAAATAATTTGTAATATTTTATATTATATTACAGTTTTTTTCCTATGTTTATCTCCTTCAACAACACTATGACCACAAGAATTACGAAGTATACCTTTATTTTTTGTGGTAATCATGTATTATTCACACCTGGTGTCATGCAAGTGTATTTGCAGTCAATAAGTGGAGACAATTGTACACATGTGTAAAATCATATTTACACACATCTCCTTTTGTCTTCAACACTTACACTATATACCGTAAATACTGCAATATGACCCAGTATATTTATTTTTTTGATGAGTATAACTTTAATTTTCCATTATATACACTGCAGATAGCCATGTTGTTATTAATGTAAAAAAAAAAATTTTCATTTGTTATATAATATATAAATGTATTTGAATTGAATGTTTCATGACATAGTTAGGGTCACAATATTGTGTCAAAAAATATCTGGCCATACCAGTCCTTCAAAATCAAGGGTGGCAGGTTTTTATCAAAAGGTCATCATGGAAAATGACCTTATAATCAATTATTTTGTACAGTTATCACGCCTGTAATGATATTCAGAAGATGGTCTTTTTTATTCCTGAACATTATTTTGACCAAATTAGATCCAAAACCTTATATTTAATTTTTCAAATATCCTAGAACCAACTGACGTTTCTCGGCTTTTTTTCAAAAAGCCGAGAAACATCAGTTGATTCTAGGATATTTCCAGTGTCTCAGCAGAGCCATCCTACAGTCACTATCAAGTTGACGTGACAAAATCAGATAAACTGATGACCTGTAATCATGTTTTTCAGTCATCAATTCTTTAAGTCCTTCATAAACAGATACACAAAAATTTGAAATAATAGATTAACTTATTTAACAATAAGTGGTAATAAAAGTACCAGGCTCATAAACTCACATACAGGACTCAAATATTGACTCATCAAATTTTTGGAAATTGTGCCCTGGGCTCAACAGTAAAAAACATAGAAAAATTACCAGACATATATTTCTTGTTCACTATGATAGACAATACGGTTTTATTTCATTGTCCTTGAATAGGGAACCCTGTTTTTGACTTGGTATTATAGTTGTATCGGCCATTTTGCTCACTGCAGGATAAATATACCAGGGCTCTCGATCTGCCAGTTTTATCGGCCCCATTCCCAATGCAAAATAGTTTGTTTTTTTTTCCCAATTTAGATCCCAAGTTTTCCCAATTCTAAGGAAAACACCATTACTTCTCCCAATTCTAAGGGCTCTGGACCACAGTCCCAAAATGGGGCGTGAGAGCCCTGTCTACACTATGTATAGACAAGAATTGTTGTGTATATCAAAATCACAGCTTGATTTACATAATGTGTTTTTGTTCCTTGTCTGTTAAATTTCCATAAAGAAACTTCATACTCACAAATTTCTCTCAATACTAATTCTTTGTAACTCAATTTACAATTTAACAGCGTATATATGTCTGTGTATACAAACACAGTTGGAAGTTGGAAGACAGGTGGAATTAGTATGGCAGAACTTTCATTGGTAAATCTCATTCTAGAACATTAGGAAGTTAACCCTCCCCTACCCCATCCCATACCCACTTTCTCCGATTTCTATCTCCTCTGAAAAAAAACCAGTTATGCTTTGCTGCAGTAGATCCATCCGTTGTTAAAAAAAAAGATATAAAAAAAGGTCATATCAAATTTTTTTTTTTTTTCAAATTACAGTATTTGTGCTAGAAATGTGTTCATATGTTCATTTTACACGAAATCTCTGGTCTTTCTTTATAAAGTATTAACATTCAGCAAGAAGGGCAGCTAGTGGGACCAATTAAAGATACATTAATTATTGCAAGATAATGATGCATTCGTATTAAATTCCAGAAATCTAGATTGGCTTATCATCAGGCATAAGTTCATTAAGTACAAATGTAATTTTATTGTCCTGTAATAAGCCCGCCCCCTAACATTGCGACAGTAATGTGATGTGATTCCACTCTTGGCTTATTATAGAATACATATTGGTATATATTTCCTTTTACATATTTGAAGCAATTAGGGTGAAAAGGCCTCCGTAGATATTTCTTTTTGTACTCCATAAATTCTCGTATTGAACCAATAACAGTGCAGTAATTGTTTTATTACATTTTATCTGAAATTTTTAACCATCCATCTCATATTTAACAAGCTTTACAGAAATCAGGTAGATCCCACTGACATCTTGCCACCCCTGTCTGCCTCCATGTTTACAATCACCAATGATGGACGTTGAAGAAATACTTTCTTTATTGGTTAAAAAAGATTTGTGACGTAAATAGAAATTCCCTTTTATTAAAAATAGAACAAAGAGGTGCAATATGATAAATTATCCGGTTTACAGTGCAATATCAATAAAAGTCATAGAACATGTGATCGTGTCTCCACAAATGAAAACGCAGAACAAAAAACGAAATTGCAGTAATTATTATAATATTCTTTTTATTTTGTTTCTTTTCTTTATAATATTTTAATGGGAGTTATATAAAGCGTGATTATTATTTCAAATACAAATGATTTCTTTTAAAATTACCAAGAAAGTTTAAACTAAGCAGAACTTTTTGTAGAATTTTTTAATTTGAGCTTAGAACACAATTTCCAAATCTTTTAGGAGTCCCAATACTTAGAGATATATTAGGGTCTGAAAATTTGAGTGAGTCCCACAGGGAAACTTTGAGTCCACGGATGAGTCCCGAAAAATTACTGATAAATGATATCAGGGTCTACTCAGAAACAGTGCACAAAGTTGTTTTTCGACCGAATAAGAATCTTAGTAGTAAGACATGTATGTGCAAATATAGCGTAACAAATAGACCAGTATGTTCATAACGTTTAAAATTTGTGTCTGTTTTTCTGCCCTAGTGTAGGTTAAATTAATTTGGTATCAGATATCAGAATTGGTGTCAGTGTTTTTCCTCCTTAGTGTAGTTTAACATGATTTAATATCAGATATCAGAATTTGTTTCTGTTTTTCTGCCCTAGTGTAGGTTAAATTAATTTGGTATCAGATATCAGAAATTGTGTCTGTGTTTTTCCTCCTGAGTGTAGTTTAAAATGATTTGTTATCAGATATCAGAATTGGTGTCTGTGTTTTTATTCCCTGGTGTAGTTTGAATCAATTTGATATCAGATATCAGAATTGGTGTCTGTGTTTTTATTCCCTGGTGTAGCTTGAATCAATTTGATATCAGATATCAGAATTGGTGTCTGTGTTTTTATTCCCTGGTGTAGCTTGAATCAATTTGATATCAGAATTGGTGTCTGTGTTTTTATTCCCTGGTGTCAATTTGATATCAGATATCAGAATTTGTGTCAATTTGATATCAATTTGATATCAGAATTGGTGTCTGTGTTTTTATTCCCTGGTGTAGCTTGAATCAATTTGATATCAGATATCAGAATTGGTGTCTGTGTTTTTATTCCCTGGTGTAGCTTGAATCAATTTGATATCAGATATCAGAATTGGTGTCTGTGTTTTTATTCCCTGGTGTAGCTTGAATCAATTTG